CCCACAACGGAGAATTTACCGGTAGGATAATTTTTAAATAACTTTGACCCCTTGAATGAGTTAAAATTGGTGGTAAAAATCACGGTGATGGTGTCGTTTGAGGTTCTCGAAATTTCTAGTTTTCTCTATTCTAACCTTAAAGATCAGTTCAAATTAAGCACTGTCAGTGAAAATTTTTCCTGAAGGGTCCATAAATGAAGCCAAAAAACACTTAGAAAGTTTTGAAATTTGAGTTTCCAAAACCACTTATTTATGCACGAAAATGATATTGTCCGGTGCTATTTGCTGCTAAATCGTGTTTTAGCTATCAACAATTCATAACTCCACATGCAAAATTGCCGCTAAGATGCATAATAATTCCGTTTTTTGCAAAAGTTTGAGCATCTTTTCTGGCCTCGTCTCTGTTTGGGGTTATGTAACATGTTGATAGTCAGTTGCTGGATTGTTTATATTTCTTTGGAGAATTCAGCACAATGCGATGTTGCCACGTATTTCACCCATTTATTAACAGTTTGTATGTAACAATAAATAAAAAGTACTGTTTCAAAATGAATGAACCACTTAATTCAGTTTGTGTTAGCATGGTAGCTGGTGCCTATAAAACCCTATCTAACCCAAACTAACCCAAATTAAATGAATCTACATGGTAGGTATCCAAGGAAACAGTTTTCATTAACTTAAAACATTTTGCACAGTTTGGCAACACCGCTTGAATGTATCCTGAAAATGGCGATTTTCCTTAAAGTTTGTGAATGTTTTTCGGCTTAATTTATGGACCCTTCAGGAAAAATGTTCACTAAGAGTGCTTAATTTAAAGTGATCTTTAAGGTAAGGATGGACAAAACTACAAATTCCGAGAACCTCAAACGACACCATCCCCGAAATCACTTCTGAAGATGCAAGCCACTCGTGCCTGCGAAACGTCAGGTAGAAATTCTACCGAACGACGGCCTAAAAATTCGGAAAACCCATTAGTGTCAAATTAATATTAGTTGAAAAAGTGGATAAAGACTTGAATGCCGATTAGACGATTTTCCTGAGTAATTTTACTGAGAAAGCCTGAAAACCCTCCGGTTTCAACCCCAAATTATTTCTAGAACTTGCTTCAGTTGTCCAGTTTCCAGTTGCAAAATGGGCTAAAAACTATTATTAACCACCACTGATGTGACGCGCGAACAAAAAAAAGCGTAATTTACTTAGTGGCCTAATTTCCGGCAGGAAAACCGGCTGCAGGCATTAATTAGCAGCCTCTTAGTTAAAAGCCCGCTATTACTGAATCCGTTACGTGGCCAGGGGCTAGTTTAAAAACACTTTGCTGGTTGTTCACCTGAAAGCCGCTTTTCTTGCCCCGGTTTGCGTACGATCAACAAAACCAGCAAAAACATTCCATCTGGATCATTAACCCTGGATTAATTAGCCATGAAACAACAGAGCTTCGCTTGCAGCTGAGCGGCACACGTAGGGGAGCGAGCGCATTGTTTAACGTTGCTGAAACCCTTACACTTTTCCTATTGGGAGAACGAGCTCGTTTCTGGATTTTAGCACGTCTTGTTTGCTATCAGGCCGGAAATTATGTTCCATCATCAAAATGAAATCCGATAGGAACATGTGACAAGAATTATCGTCGTGACACCATGCAAGGTCTACAATTGTTAGCGCTCTTTTCGACAGCAAAGTTTCAATTCCATTGGAGAGTTGGGAACGGATTAGCAACTAAAAATGGGGGAAGTTTCGCAAAACATTGCTTATTGGGACAATCTCATTTTCGGAAAGCTCCCGCTCTAAACAGCGGGCGCAGTTTTTGTGTTTCCTCCTGCATTGAATTGAATCAGCAAAGTTGCATTTTGTTGGCGCGCCCAGGGGCGCACTTGGACTTGCTCCATGTTGCCTGCTACTTGTTGACAATGTTTGGCTAATAAGCTCGCAAAGTTTCAGTTTGCCTGAAATTCTTAACCTAGATATTGACCCAAACGTTCCCCTAGTGGACGTGATTATTCCAAACTCGTCCAACTTTCTTTTCCCCGGAAACTTAATCAACTAGAAAATTATTTAAGCGACTTAATTCATAGCGAAACGTTTCACCAAGATTATTCAGCTAAAGTTTTAATTAATGCTCCAAGAATTTGCCTCTCGTGTTGTTCGAGGCCGGGCCAACAATAAACATCCAATCCATAGAGTCCTGATTGGTGATCGCCTCTGGAAAATGCCGGTCTTTAGAGCTGATCCAGAAAAAGGTTAAAAGCCCCCGTTCTGCTTGGCCCTAATTGTTCTCCAGGATTGTGCTCAAGCTGCACTTTTCCATCGAGCAATCAAATTAAAACATTCCATTATGGCAATGGATTTTTACTAACCGGAACTGTTCGCCTGTTAGCGCCGATTGATAGATTCCGTTACGGGCGAATGGATCTGAATGAGGCTCTGCTTCAAGAAATGCACAACTGAAAGGACGCTCCTAGAGGAAAATCTGGCCCAATGTGGGACAAACTTCAAAAATTCATCTTTGAAGAAACTTTTCTGAGGTGCTCTAAAACGTTTCAATTTCTGTTTTGTTCTTTTAATTCGTACTGCCTCCGGGCGGTTAATTTGCGATTTCACGGTTTACATTTGAAGCGAAGATGATGGGATTTATTTGAAATACCGAAGGCACAATCGGATATTTTTAGTAGCGGAAGCCTCAAGGCTCCATTTCATAACTTCTCGGTTTACTTAGGCCAATTGGATCTAAATTTATGCACTGTAACTGTTTAATTTTTTCGTTTTCAAACGGAACACCCGCAGGCGCCTGCTTGTATGGGAATGGCGAAAAGTGCTCATCAATCCAAGCTCCAGTAAATATTATTTAATGGAGAAAAAATGTGGGTGATTAAGCAAGTGGCAGTGAAAATAGCACGTTCCGATGCAGTCACGTGTTGGCCTGACTTTCCAGGTTCCCGATCAGGCGAATAATGAAGCCAATATTTGCGATATGATTAGCGCAATTGGATTCATTATATTAATTTTGCTTGGCATATTAATCGCCGTTATTAGATCTGAAAATGCGAAAATTAATAACAAACCCGATAGGAAGACGATCGCTGATCGATAAAATCTTAATAAAACTGTTTTCTAGGGCATAAATTTTCTTTCACGACAGTCTAACAGCTCGAAAACCTAACAAAAATTGCCAAATTTTGGACTTTTGTACACTGATTGTAGATACCGAAAGTTCTTATAAAGACCGAAGTTGTAGCCCGATTTACCCCGCGAATTTTGTTTTCTGGAACCGCCTACACTCTTTATCTCATAGCGAGGCCAAATGTCGCTAAAGTTTTCAGAAATTGCAGATTTTGGCCTTTTGCACACTGGATTTCAGATACCAAAAACTCATTTTTCAGCGGCCCAACGATAAAGAAACCACCAAGTCACAGACCATTTTAAAGTAAACATTACAATGATTAAAATTACCACTTATACACCTTCGAAATCCAAAAAAACATCAAGTCAGTTGTTCGTGGAAGAAAAATTAGTCATCTTCTGAACTGCAAACCAAATCATTCTTATTCAACACCAACAAAGAGATACTTTGACAGATCTGCTAGCAGAAACCGTTGAATGGCAGAGTTGTAGACAATAAAAGGGTCTAAAACTTTTCTATTTAAGACTTTTTGACATAACCTAAAATTAACGGCCAAAATGGCGGAAAACCGATTTTTCAGTATTTAATTTTTGCGCGAGAAAAAAATTAAATACTGAAAAATCGGTTTTCCGCCATTTTGACCGTTAATTTGAGGTTATGTCAAAAAGCCTTAAATAGAAAAGTTTTAGACCTTTTTATTGTCTACAGCACTGCTCTTCAACGGTTTTCTACAGGGTGTCCGGTACACCCTGTAGAACGTTAATCCCCAAGCGCTTTAATGGAAATCCAGGCGATTGATTGTTGCTCGGAAATTTCCGCAACGTCCCCTCGCGAATAATTTCAATTACTTTGCGGTTAACTGTGGGTAATTTTCCTGTTTCAGGTGATCTTCTAGACATTTTCACGCTCACAATTTCAGCAATCAATTTTGTGCTGTACTGTATCATGTCTCAGAAGTTCCGGGAGGTTTTCCGGGAACATTTCGTGCCATTTCTGCCCTGCGGAAAAGCCGTCAAGACTCAATGGATCTCGTTACAAACTGTGAATACCGTAGTGTAAAGCTGTTGTCAATAATTGCTGTTGTTGTTCACCTTGGATTATATGCAAAATAACCACTCGATTGATTACTTAAATGTATGGTTTTACGTCTTTTGTATGAAACAGGTCTGTTAATAAAGCCGCCCTAATGCAGTGAGCCCGCAATAGGCAAACACCCGGCTTGTTCTTCACAAATTTTTCCCCCGCCGACTTTCGATTAGAGCAATGGGGGCGTCTGAACTTGAAAATGAACAAATTCAGCGGCAAAGTTTTACTGGATTTCCGCACGGGCCATAAGCAGCAAGGAAACAATACTTTCATGTCGGAGAAGTTGCGTATTTTAGAAAACCTGTTTAGTCAACTCATGCATAGGAAATCGATGTTTGCAGTAAACAAGCCGCTATTGATTGGCATGAGAACACCAAAAAACGCGCTTAGAATCTACGAGTTTATTCCTGTGTTAAATGTAAAAAACAAATTGCATCCGGTTGATTCAATCGATGTTATTACACAAGAATTCTATGAGAAAGTCTGCATCTGTTTTCTTTATATGTATAGTATAAATTGTTTGGCGAAAACGCCCGTTTTGTGCGATTGTTATGAATATGCAACATCAAATGCACTGCATTGGAAAAATCAACATTTGAAATAAATTAACCGTGAAGCGTCCCCGTTTAGAAATGGAGATATACAATGGGTCCGTGTGCATCCCAACTGAAAAATGGAAAGCAGCAGAATATTGAATTTATGAAGCTGGGCTTTCGGGGGGTGCGACGTAACGCGCGATAACAAAACCAATAACTTTACGATACTGAACAAATAGCCGCAATAAGTCAGAGAACGCGTAGAAAGTCGCATAAGCAAACACAATTACCGAAGAATTTTAAAGGCACTGTGCAGCTTGTGTCGCTAATATTCACGGCCTACAGTCGTAAGGTGTTGCTTCTTGCTGGCTATGAATACAAATTTACCCTATCAGAAGCCCGAGAAAAGCTTTATGAACTCACGTGCTTGCTTCATATGAATTTTACGATACGACATAGATATCGGGCTATAAGACACATACATAAGCCTGAAGGAAACGATAGATAACCGATATATGGCCCATTTCTCGTCGTATATTGCCATAGTCCAGAATTTTTCAAAAAAATTCCATCATTATATTGCTTAGCCGCTTGATTTTCCTGTCGCGTTTCGCTTCTGAATAGAAATTTGATGTCAAAGTTCTGTATATACATTATACATGTACATAGCAGCCCCGCTCAATTACCAAGTTGGCGCTAATATTAATATTTCTGTATAATCGACACCGTCAGAGTTACCTGATTCGTCATACACACTTTACACGTACAACTGAAAACCCGGCCTACACGATTTCAAAGCCTCCAATTTAACTTATTCGAGAAGTTGAAGCTGTTTGCTTTACAGCCTAAACCGATTAAAGTTGCCTCTGTTTGTGAAGTATGAAAACTCCCGCCAACAAAAACTTTAAACGTAAAGTTGCCTCGACAATATTTCATCCTTGCTCGAGCCGCTCCTCGAGTACGAATATTAATAGTTGCGGGAATAGTGATATTTAATTTTCTTAGGCCACTTCAGGGGGATATTTCAGTTGGCTGAAGACGCGCTGAGGTCTGGTAAAGATTAGGAATTAATTAGCTCGTAGGTGCCGCTCATGGCACATAAAGTACACAAGCGGTGCGCCAATCTGGACCCTATTAACAATTGAATTGTTAATGTGAATTAGCATAGAGCACTCAGCACAAAGAAACGGGTTCAGCACATTGGAGCCTCTAAAAAGACGCGCTAATTCGCCTTTTGGGCCCGTGAACTGTACCTGAGAGACACCGCTCGAGCAGGAAAAAAACATAATTTTTGCATTTAGCAACACTTTTACGGACTTTTGTAATGAAAGGCGTCGTTTTGCTGGGATTTAATTTTGTCGAGAAATCCAATAAAATAAGTGTTTGTAAAAAAATTGTTTTAAAAACTGAGAAATTTGCAAAAAAACTACAGCTGAGTCCGGATATAACGAACTTGAAAAATGAACTAAAACTGGTTCGTTATTTCCGGAGTTCGCTATAAGCGAATAATAATACAAAAACACGTGGT